GTTTTTTTTTCCTTTGTTTTTTTTTTTTTTTGAATTTTTATCTTCTAAAACCAGATAAAAAGCAAACTAGGAAGAGTAATTTCAAGATTTTGCTTCATCAAAACAGAGCTGCCATTGTTTCTGTTGACGAGGGCCAATCACCTTTTTCTCAACAATGAAGATATTGCTTCCCCTCATTCATTAGGAGTCCACATACCAAAACAACGTCGTTTTGGTACCCAAATAAAAAATAAAAAGACCAGCAGAGATCAACAACCGATAGCTGCATTTCATTTGTTTTCCTCGGATCCGGCCACAATCACCATTACAATCCACACTATTTCTTTTATTAGCTTCTTCATTTTCAAAATTTTATATGCACCAATTAGTGTATTAATGGATGATATGGTATAATTTAAGAGATTTTTTATATTTATAATCTGTATAATGAGTAAAATCAATAACAATATCATAACTAGAATTGATAGAATAGTTAATATACTAATTAGTGCATCTAGCATCACCTGAAATATTATCCATTAAGAGTTATCAGAAGTGCACAAACGCAGACTCCTCTCTGCTATTGATCTCTTTTTTTTTTTTTTTTTTGCGCATCAAAATCACATAGTCATTTTGGTACACTAGAAAATGCACTCTAGAGAAAGAACTCAAGAGGATCTGGACAGGAACGTTAGAGAAAAGGAGTTCTCTCAAATTGACGACAAGAACGAATTCTAGATCTAAACTATCTTTTTTTCTTAAAATCAAGTTCTCCACATCAGAACCAGATCAAAACATCACCAATCAAAATCAACCTAAAATTAAAACAAATTTCGCATTAAATTGAAAAAATAAAACTCCAAAAACTTGCGGGATAAGAAGATTTTTACCTAAAATAACAAATAAAGACAAAACAAAAATGCTTCAGGGCTCGAAAATTCCATGGCTCAAGTGACCCGAATCCAAAATGATGTCATTTTGGATTTTTTTTTTTTTTTTTTCCTCCCTCTTTTATATCTGAAACAGAGGAAGAGAGACAGAGAAGGAAGAGAGAAGAGGAGGAAGGAGGAACATAAAGGAAGAGAGAAGAGGGAGGAAGAACAGACCATCACCGGTGCCCGCCATCCTCTGTGTGTATACACAGATTTGTGTATACACAAATCTGTATCTCTCTCTCTCTCTCTCTCTCTCTCTGTATCTGTCTCTCTCGTTCTCTGTATCTCTTTCTTATGTTCTTCTCAGATCAGCACCTCTGCTATGTCGATATCCTTCTTCCTCTTCAGGTAAACACACCTATATATGTACCTCTATATATTATGTATATGTGAATTTCAAAATTGAAATTGAATTTATTTTGTAGCTTCGCTTTTCTCTTCTCTTCTTTCTTCTTCTTCTACGAGTTATGGAAAAGAAGAAGAAAAGAAAAAAAAAAAAAAAAGAGACCAAAACGACGTCGTTTTGGGATTTCGGGCCACTCGAGCCTCTAATTTTTTGAGTTACATAATGGGACTAAAGACAAAATAGATTAAAATAGTTAATAAAATAAAATATCACATCCAAATCATAATTATTTTATTTTTTATCTCACAACTATCAAATCAACTACAATATATATATATATATATATCATTCCAAACACAACATTTTTAATTAGATTAAAATAGTCAAAAAATCAAATAGTCAACTAAAATAACCTATTCCGAAACGGAGCCAATATCTTCTCCAATTTACCTCTCAACTTTTTTTGGGTGGGCTGATTGTCAGGTTCATTATTTTGTTGATTTATTGGGATAATTTTAGAGATGGCAATTTGAACCCGGCCGGACAGGGACCTGAACTGCCTCGTCCCAATAAGCCGGGTTTTCTCCGAAAATTATCTCCCATAAGGCCGAGGCTGGTATTGAAAAATAGATCCCTGATAGTTTTTAGGAAGGGGAACGGGAAAGATTCCCCCAGCCCCAATTCATCTCCGTACAACCCGTATATATATATATATATATATATTTAGTTCACTCTAATACAAACCCATCTCTCTCTCTCTCTTTCTCTCTCTCTCCCCCACGACTCTCTCTCTCTTCTCTCTTACAAACCCACTTCTCTTCGTCTCTTCTTTCTCTCTCTCACAATCTATGGTGTGGATCTATGGTGTCACTCACTCACACACACTCTCTCTATCTCTCTCTCTCTCTCTCTCTCTCTCTTCCGTATCCAAAGTCGTCGCATCCTCTAATACCGTTGCCTCCTCCGACGCCACTACCACCGTGCTACCCCTGGTCGTTGTCTCTCTCTAGATCTTCGCTACTGCAGAATTACTCCAGGAAAAACGAGATCGGTCGAGCACGGTGGAGTCCTCCATGAACTCTACCATTTCAAATCCAGATCTAGTTTCTCTCTCTATCTCTCTCTTTGTATGTGTGTGTCCATGTGTGTATATATATATATCTATATATTTGTGTGTGTTTTACAGCTTCTGATTTTGATTCTACTAGTGGTATAAAAAAGGCTATGATAATATTTCTACTTCGACTGGGTTCATATAATTAGGTACTGAGATTGTGCGCCTTTCTCTTTGTCTGATCAAATACAGATCTGAGCCTCACACTTATTTACAGTGATTAAATTTTGTTCTTTTTTAGGTTTTTTTTTGGGGGGGGTTTGAGTTGGTTGTGATTGTGTTGTTAGATCTGCAACTGGAGCTGTTTTTTTTTTTTTTTTGGCTGGGGAATTTTCGAGAATAGGGTAACCGAATCCCCGTTAAGAGACGAGGACGGGAACAATGATAGGTTCCCTGTCAGGGATCGAGGCTGGGATGGGAAAATTTTTGCTATCGGGGACGCGAGTGTGATCCCTGACCCCACCTCGGCCCGTTGCCATCCTTAGCCCCTCCCCTCTGTTGTCATGCCTTTCCCGCATCCATCGCCCATCTCTCTTTCCCAAAACCAATCCACACCAAAATCAATCACTAATCCAACATAAATTAACCAAATTAACCGATAAGAGAAGACGGTGAGAAGAATAAGTGATAAAAATAGAAAGACAATGTCTATACATCAATTTTAGAATTTTCTTGGAATTTCTTCATTATCAAATTAGTATTTACCATTTGGTCACTCTAGATTCAATCTTAAGGGATGATAAACCCATATTTCCAAGATTTTCCCACAGTTCATCAGAGTTTCCAAAGTTTTATTACTCCAAATTTTATTTGCTCAAAATTTTCCATGTTCCGAAGTACACAGATAATAACGGCACTCTGGAGTGGAAATTCCATTCCAAAAAGAAAAAAGTTAGGAATCATGAAAAAAATTTCATGAAAATAATCATGAAAGAGTTACAATCCTTGGATTACCTTAATTAGTATATAGTGCTTTATTCTAAGTGTAATACAAGGGTCACAAAGTTTTCATGATTATTTTCATGAAAGGATTTTCATGATACATAGCATGGCTGTTCCAGAAAATGTTTATCACTCTTAAACCAATTTTTGTTGATAATTACAATACAATATTGGGAGCTTTTAGACACCATTATAGCCATATTTAACTTTCTCAAAATCCATCTATAACACTGAAAATACCCAGATAGAAAAAGTACATAAGTCATATAATTAAAGAGTTAATTTTAGGCAATAATTATAGATTGTGTTGAGAGAAGCAAATACAAACAAAACATACAAAAGCAGACAATAAATGAAAAAACATACATGAGGGTAATATAGATAACAAAAATAGATCAATAAAAGTTAAAACCAGAGCATTCAGCATGAGATCAAATAATCCCCGACATTGCTTCTTGTTCCCGTTGTCGCCAATCGTCAACCTGCCTCCTGCTATCTAGAGACCAACGCCACACCTTCCCCCTCCCCATCCACCAACGCCACTCCATTTCCCTTCCCTAACGTCCCATGTTTCCTTCTTCCCACCCCCAACCCCCAATGCCAACCCTCTTCCCTTTCCCACTGACACTCCCTACATCCCACAACCCCTACCCCATATTTTACCCCCTCTCATAGGCCCTCGACACCACTTCCCTCCCTCCCCTAAGCCTTCAACTACACCTTATCCTCCTCTTCCTCCTTACATTCTGTCTTTCTCATCTATATACAGAGAAATATATATATATATATATATATATTGCTAATTATATATTTTCAAGTGAGATATTTACTCACTAGGAGTTAGATGAATGAATAATTGAATTAAATGGGAATGAGAACAAATTGACTATCTTACCCTTAAAAACTGTGCGCATGTTGTCCTCGTGCTTCTTTTCCGTTGAAATGCCTAACAGAAGTTATCTATTTGTCTAAATTGCCACATAGTACAAAATCCAACAAATGAAAATTAGAGGAACCAAAATGACACAAAGGACAAAGTACAGGAACTACTGATATAATTTACCCCAAATTTTATGTTGTTTTCTGGTGCAATAATTCAGTACATAATGGGATATCAAAGCCACTCCAACCTTCCTTAGAGATGGCAACAAGTTCAGAAACTCCAGAAGATAACTGCAACTGGAGAAAGATTGGCGAAAGGGTACAGGCATCACCAGTTCAAATCGGAAGTGGGCATCGCCGGTGAAAGGGAATGGGGCAATACCAGGAGAGGTGGCTGGAGGTGAGAAGGCAAGTGTGGGGCTAGGAGAAGAGGATCAACAGTACATTTTCTAAGAAAGAACAGGTTGTGCAGATAGAAAGGAAAGGAGGGGGTTTTGATCCAATGTAGTGTACTACATAGTAAAGTTTAGACGAGTGGTTAGAATTATTCAAAACTTGTAATTGTGATTTGGTGTAATTAACGTAAAAATTGTATTTGTAATTAGATTAAAACAAATAGAAAAATTCTCTGGTAGTGAAGTAAAAGGAACAAAACGGATGGTTGAGATTGTGGTTAATTTAGAAGATTAAGATTTAAATTAAACAAATTTAAACTTTCTGAGTTTTTTTTATTTATTTTTCCCTAAAATTAAATTGGCTTTAGAGAAACCATTAGAACTACAACATATTCAGAAAACAGCAGTGAATGGAATTTTGGGGCTAAAGAAGAAAAATCATTATAACATGTTATATTTTAGGTCAAAACTTCCTAGCACAACACAGCAAGGTAAAATCATCTCATCACTAGCTAGAATAAAAGTCAATAACAAGCCATTTGGTCCATAAGCAAGAAAGGAATTCAACAAAGCAAACCCAAAAGAAGTGCCCAGTTAGAGAGCACCGATTAAGCAGCAGCAGCTTTGCTGCCTTTCTTCCTCTGAATCTTCTTCATATAGAATTCCAGTTCCTTTCCCTCCAAGATATACCTATCACGATAGTTTGACATGGAAGCAAAATGAGATATACAGCGAAACATTCAATTCATTTGTAAAAGAGATGTTTCTACAATACTCACCCGTCTGCTCTCCCACATTGACCTGGTCGGGAAGAGATGCAGGCCAGCAACCTACCACCACCAAACTGCTCTTCAATGTGGCCATCAAGTTTCCAACCTTCCTGGCGCTTCTCAAGCTTCCTGAGGACATGTTTGCTCTTCTTTGTTTCCTCTGCAGCCACTTCTTCCTGCTTTGCACATTATGATAAAACAATTAGAATAACCGCCACTAGACAAAAAGAAATCACATGACACAGCGGCACATGTATAAATTCCCACAACAAGAATTGATGGCAGTGTTGTTGTTGACGATTAAACAGACCAACAGAGCAATTAACATGGAAAATTAAATAACATAAAATAAAAAAAAATAAAAAAAAGAAGAGGTTGGCTAAACTTTGGTTCAGAAAATTAAAATTTTTTGTTTTCTGTGTTTTTTTTGTTTTCATTGAATTTTTTTAATATTCTAAGCAATTTTTTTAATTTTTTGACACACCTTACATAAATACAATTAAAAAATATAATATTTGTGAAAAAAAAATCTTTAGAAAATTCATTAAATATCAAAAAAACAAACATACGAGAATCAAGGTTGTTAAAATCGGGATCCTACGTTGGATCGTTAGAGGTGTTTATAGGATCGGATCGTAGAATCGGATCGAAGATCATAAGATCCTACCGAAAAAGATAAATTATATAATAATTTAATTTAAATAAATATTTCTTATAAAGTATACACAAAATGAACCTATATTTTATTAAAAAGAAGTGAAGATATTGTGAAAAATATAATACTCCATGTAAAATGTACATATAATATTATGCAATAGAAAACTCGATGGTAAAAGTTCTGTATTTTATCAAAAAAGAAGGTGAAGAAGAAGAAGAATTCTATAACAAAATACTTTACAATGTATAATAATGCATAAAAAGTGAAGAAAAAATATTTAACAAAATTGGATATGAAAATAAATTAAGAACTCAAAAGAGTAGCTTAGTCGAATGATAAGGTTTGTCGTTAGCATCCCTGGTGGAGCGAATTCGAGTCACAAAAATAATTTTTCCAGAAATTGGGATAAAGTTACTATCATCTTATCCTTCTTAGACTCCGCTAAAGCTAAGTTTGTTTTTCCGACTATTTAATTTTCTTAAATTACCGCAATATTTGAATGCTTGTTTCCTAATTTGTTTTTCTTAGTCTATTTGATTCAATACTACTTAATTTTTATTATTTATTTTGACAACATAAATTGATATTTAGACAACAAATATAAAATTTACAACAAAATATGTCATACAATACAAAACAAGGCTTGCAAATAGGATCGGATAGGATCGGATTCGGATTGGGATTCCACGATCCTATAAGATCCCACTACCAGGATCGAAAGATCCTACCTATAAGGAGTTTTTTACACGATCCGGATCGATTGCACTCAAATGGATCGTAAGATCGTAGGATCGTAAGATCCGGATCGGGATTCTGATAACCATGACGAGAATTTAATACATTTTTCGTATTCTTGTGTATCTTAAAATATTTTTTTACAAATATTTTACTTTTTAGATATATATAAATAAGGTGCATCTAAAAAAGTAAAAAAATTGCTTAAAATTTAAAAAATATTCACCAAAAAAAAAACGAAAAGCAAAAAACTTAATTTTCAAAAAATTGAAACCAAACGTATGACCTAGAAATATACACAAAACCCATGTGGTCTGGAGTAAAGTACAAAATCTCACTCTATTAACATTTTTTTGCTAAAAGCCTATATTGTCCCCTTTTCTTATTCAATTTTGCTAGTCTCCCATCAACAGCCTTGGATGCCAATCGTACAATCAGGAAGACAGAAAGAGAGTTTAACCATTAAGAGAGAGTTTAACTAAGTTGATACATAGAACACAGAGGTAGACTCTCTGGATTTCCAATATACTGGATGAATCAGTTAAACAACCATTTACAAAGTAAAGTTGACATACTGGATTCATTAAAGTGTAAACTCCTATAAAAAAAATATATATAATTATTTTAGAAAAAAACAAAACAAATTATAAGAAAAAAACATGGTAGGAAGCAATACATACCTCTGGGGTTTCCTTCTTAGCAGCTGCCTTCTTCTTCCTACCAATCTCAATGCCATAGTGCTGAAGGTACCACTGCTTGAATGGAGCAGCATCCACTTGAATAATTGCACTTTTCACCAATGTTTGCGTCCTGACAAGCTCATTGTTTGAAGCATTGTACACCACATCAAGGATACGTGTTTTACGGGTAACAGCTTCACTACCCCAAGAGAAATTCCCAGTGTCCAATCTGAGGGCCCTCCACTTCACATTGCCGCCTCTCACACGGATTCTTCTCACTGTCTTGTTGCTCGAGAGCTTAGTATTTGCAGGCTGACGACCAAGCTCATACCTATAAAAAGCCAAAAGAATTAGCAAAATATGCAGATACATGAAGGTAACCACCGACTGTTGCTCTACGTTGATATTGCCGTACAACTAAATAATCCCAAAACACAAACATAAGTCCAGTACAAATAAGAAGTCTTATATGAGGAATGCCAAAGGAACACCTTAACTAAGGATAACCATTTCTTTACATTAGAGCACCTACTTTCGTGAAATGATATTTTTCTAGCTTGAAACATGATTCCCCAGGACAGGAATTCTAAGCCTTTCCTCACACCCTTTGCAACCAACATTACTTAGATTTATAGAAAATAGGAGTTCGTCAGAAGGAAATATTTGTTCATGTCTTGATGCGTCTTTAGATTCTTGTTCTACAGCATATCTAGTGACAATAAATTGTGCACGTTATTGTAATGTACTATCTGCATCTATTTTCTGAGCAATTACTACCATAATATAATATACAACATTATTGCAACAAAATGAAACAATGTGCACAAGTGTATAGCCACTCTACAATTAGATTTCAGCCTTAAAGTTGACTTAATGATGCATGTTCATTAAGAAGAAGAAGAAAAAATAAATTAAATTTCTTGAAAACACTAAACTGAGATGCAAAAGGCTACTGCAATGGTAGACTCATAATTAAAGTTCATAACAACTCTGTTTTTGGAAAATTAAAAAGCAGTGATTTTCAAACTGTCTTTTCCATTCTTTTGGATCAGAATAAAATGCAAGACAGTTTGAAAATCACTGCTTTTTAATTTTCCAAAATACTATTTTCTTATTTTGTGTTTGCTCCACACATTGCCATATAATATGTGAAATTTTCCCCAGCAATTTTGGTATCACCCCAATGTAAAATTCAAATTGCAAATCAATACATTTTCACATACCTTCAGAGTACAGCTGAAGAAAAATATATCAAATCTACTTTGGTTTTCATGAAAACGTAACTGTCAGTAGCCTATTAAATGGAAGTCACTTTTCCATGCACTTTCTAGGTAATACCTCAGAAAAAACTAACAGTGGGTGCAAACATGATGGGTTCGCAATTTTACATATAAATTTTTTTTACTGATTTCATGTATGGAGAAGATGGATTGTATTAGATAACTGCTAGCAGTTATTTTCTGAAGCTGTTAACAATATAGGTAAATCTGGGTATTTTGGGAAGAAAAAAATAAAAGCTTCCAAACCTTCAAAATCTTCTGAGTTGTGCTTTATAATAGTATATATATATATATATTCTAGACAAGTATGGTACCCAAAAAAATTCGTGTACAATTTTATTGTTTCAATTTCAAGAATCCTTCTTTGCAACCATATGAAGTGTAAAATCTTTCACTATGCATGAACCCAACCAGAAACCGAAAACACATCTACCCATCTCAAATTGCAGCTATGATGACCACAAATGACAGATCTACTCCATGTATACAATAAACATCATACAAATTCATTCATCAAAATAACTAATATCATCTGATAAATAAAAGGTAAAGCTTTGTTGATTAATCATTCTCCAAGAGTCCAGTAAACCAAAAACACCACACATTGAGCTTATTACAAAAGAAGAAAAAAAACAAGTATATAAATTTTATTTCCATTTTCTTTTTCTTAGCTTTTCCCAGAAACCAAACAGGGGCAAAGAGAAAAAACCAAAAATAAAGGAGAAGAAAGAAAGTAATTTGAATTGAGTTTTGGTTTTCATACTTTCTCTTCTTCCTCCAGGCCTTCTTCTTCCCTCCAGTTGCACGCCTCTTGTGCATCGAGTCTCGTGAGATACCTACAACAACAACCACAATACGCCATCAAAATCACACAACAAACTACAGTGAGAATTGAGAAGAGAGAGAGAGAGAGAGATGAAGGATGAGATTACCCATATTTGCAGTACGGTGGAGAGACGACGGAGCTCTCTCTCTATCTCTCTCTAGCTTGGCTGAGCTGAGCCTCCGACAAAATGAAAACCCTAGGAAGGCGAGGAAACCCTAATCGAATGATATACTGAGAAGATGGGTTGGATTTTGGGCCCCCAATATTACGAGGTCTAAAGTCCAGTCCAGTCCAGTCCATCATTTTTCTTCTCTTTTTTTTTTAGTTTTTTTTTTTTAATCAAAAAGTTGTATGTATAAAACTTGTACTATATTGGAGAAAAATAGGTAATTACAAAAAAGGTTAAATTACATATACCCTTCGAGGTTTAGTAAAATTATAGATACCCTTCTGAAGTTTGAGAAATTACAGATACCTCCTAAAGGTTATATTTGCATAACAAATTAGGAAGCAAATTATTATGAAAATATAAACCATCAAAAAGTTGTATGTATAAAACTTGTACTATATTGGAGAAAAATAGGTAATTACAAAAAAAGGTCAAATTACATATACCCTTCGAGGTTTAGTAAAATTATAGATACCCTTCTGAAGTTTGAGAAATTACAGATACCTCCTAAAGGTTATATTTGCATAACAAATTAGGAGGCAAATTATTATGAAAATATAAACCTCAAGAGGTAATTTGTTATGAAAATATAAACCTTAAGGGGTATATGTAATTTCTGAAACTTCAGGGGTATCTGTAATTTAGCTAAACCTCAACGGAGGTATATGTAATTTGTCCTTACAAAAAAAGTGAAATATATTATAAAATTTAATAATTAAAATTATTAAAAAAATTATTAATTTGTAATTAATTATTGACACAATGTTAGTATAATTGGCCCTAGTATATTGGTCTTGTTTGGTAGAGCTGTAGAAAAATGATTAGAGATTATACTTTAACAGATTATAGCTTATAACTGTAAATATAAATTGTTAATCTGTTTAGTACAGCTGTTGGATTATGGATTTAAGTAGCAGAATAGTATTTGGTTGATAAGCTGTAAAATAACTTTTTGTTGTGTAATTGTCCTTTTTACCCTCATATGATATAAAAATAATTATTTTGTCATTCTTTTCAAATTTAATTTTACATAAATTATTTCATTAATAAAAGTTAATATAATTAGTATTACAAAAATTATTATTTTCATTAATAGTATGAATTAGTATAAAATTATTTCATTTTTTTATTATAAATTAATTAGTGCCAATTAATGGCTTAATTAGCATCAATTAATACTAAAATTATTAATTAGTATCAATTAATATAAAATTTATTTCATTAATGGCTAAATTTATTTCATTTTTTTTATTTGATTTAATAAAAGTTATTTCATTTTTTTATATTAATATCAATTAGTAACAAATGTTTTTTTTTTTTACAATACCAAAGAATTTTATATCAATATAAAATTATTTTAATAGAAGGTATTTAATTGAAATAAATTTATATCAATATTAATTGAAATAAATTGTGTAATTTATTTCTTTATTTAAATTTTGCAATTGTGCAATTTATATCAATATTAATTGTGAAATAAATTATGCAATTTATTTAATGGATATAAACCGAGATAACATCTTTCAATCTAAATTATAGACTAGGTACTTTAAATTATAGACTAAATACTTTAAATATTTTCCTATTAGATTGAAATATGGAATTGGTTCATTTAACCCTTTCAAAAACAAGCGGTTGAGATCAGTAGAGGAGTTAAAAATTTAATATAGCGGGGGCACAAATCAAATTCCTAATTTTAGCACACACAACAACAAACCAAAATTTTGAATTTTAATAAAAATCACCACCAATCAAGATTCATAATTTTAACATATCAAAATCTCTTATTTTAACATAAATAATAACAAATCAAAACTTAATAAATAATTATAGGGCATAGGTACTGGCTGACTCAAAATCATAAAATCCTTTAAACTGAGGTGTGGGAAAATTTTTGACTAAAGGTTCTACTTCTATCCAATCATGGTAAATACCGAGCTTGGTTCCTTTAGCTACTACATAGAAAGAAAAACTTTTAGACAAGGGCTTGTTTTGGATTTTTGAAAAATATATACTGAGGGAATTTAGGGCTAAAAGGCGCTTAGCTGGGTGGTTTTGGCTGGTCCAAAGGTTATCTAAAAGACACTGTTGAACTGGGTCTAGCTCAATCCTTGTTAAGGGTCTGAACTTGGTTCTGCCTTCATGAATGGGAAGAGAAAATCCCCCAAAGTTCATGGTCTTGCTGTTCTTCATTATCTGCACAAAAATTAAACTGGTTATCTTCTTTTTCTAAATAAATTTTTCTACTTAACCAGTCCGTTAATTTATTATCGCTTCCTTTAATATGCTCAAATTCTACGTTATATCCCTGTCCTACTATACAATCTAAAAATTTTGCCCATCTTCCAGTACTTAATTTACGCTCATTTAGTTTGTTATGAAATCTAACTATGGCTTCACAATCTGTCCTTATTGTAAAAGGTTTGTGCAAAAATAATCTAAATTTATTTATTGCGTATACTACTCCTAGTATTTCAAAATCTAGGCTGGTCATAGTTGTATCATTTTCTTTAAATTTTCCAGAACTATATCTACAAATGCGTTCTTTATTTTTACTGTCATATTTACTGGGTTTTGCTAATAATATTGTTCCCCATCCTAATTGACTTGCGTCTGTTTCTACAACTATGTATTCAGATTCTAAGGGAAGTTGTAGGTCTGGTAGGTTTTTACAAATGTCTTTTATTTTTCTAACTAGAGCTATATCTTGCTGATTGAAATATTTCTGTCCAGTGGGTGTGGTTTTACTATAAAAGGGTCCTATTATTTTACTGAGGTTAGGAATATACATTCGTGTATAATTTAAAATTCCTAAAAAGGATTGCAGTTACTTTGTATCTTCTAATTTATCTGGATAATCTAAAATTTTCTTGACTATATGAGGTTGTAACCTAATTTTTCCATCTCCTAGCTCCATTCCCAAAAATTCTATGTAGGGTTTATTTAATATTATAGTCCATAATCTAAGGCCGTAGTCCTGGATCTGTAGGAAAGTCTACTAAGTTGATTTTTATCTGACTTTATTTTGTGAAAGAATAATTATAATCTTCTTCTTGATGAAGAGATTATTCCAATTTTGATTTTCTTTTGAAATATTTCTTCATGACTGTTTTAAAAAATAAAAATAAAAATAAAAATTCATAATCAAAATCACAAACCCCCACAAATTAAAATCTCCAATTTTAATACAAATCAAAAAATTTAAATTTAGCACAAATCACAACAAATAAAATTTCTAATATACCAATATTATAACAAATGAAAGTTCCAAATTAAAATAACAAATACTAGAAATTAATATTTTTAATTGTAGCACAAATCAAATTCCTAATTTTGGCACAAACAACAACAAACTAAAATCACTACTTTTAATATAAATCACTATCAATTAAGATTCATAATTTTAACATATCAAAATCTCTTATTTTAACATAAATAATAACAAATCAAAACTTAATAAATAATTATAAATTAATACTCATAATTTTTGTTTAAAAGTAAAAAATAATAAATAAAGGTACTTGTAAACAATGAAGAGAAGCCACCAAAATTGTAGTGTGGTCCCAAATCTGTGTTGTGTGATCTCAATCTGGTGAATCCCGAGTCGATAAATTGCAAAGTAACAAAGAAGACAAAGAAAATATAGAGACATTTAACAAGTACTGTAAATAAATAAAAAAACAAAGAACTTCATACACTTTTTAGGTTTTAGAGGTCTTACCATCTACTATTGAAAGCCTTGCCCAAAAAATATTTTTTAGATTGCCCAACAAATTTTTAAATTGTTTCCGTGGTTGGGGTTGTATGTGTCAGTGTTTTCTTGGGATTGGGACTCAAAAAAAACAAAAAAAACAAAAACAAAAACAGAAACAACAACGAAATAAAAAATAAAAAAGACAAAAAGACAAAAACAAAACAAAACATGGGTGAGGTAAGGCTGTGTGTGTCAGTGTGTTTGGTTGGGATTGGGAGTTAAAAATATAAAAATTAAAATTAAAATTAATTGAAAAGTGAAGATTTGAGGCTTTAATTGTGTGAATGTCAGCTAAGACCAAAAAAAAAAATGTGAAAAGTCAAGAGGGCACATGGCCCCCTTGGTCACTGTGTCCCTCCGCTCCCAGTTGAGATATTTTTTCAAATTTTTTTTTTCGAGTTTTCAAACTCTTAAATTTAAGATGGTATAATTTAATACAAAAATTGTTATTTTATATATATTTTTTTATATTAATGTTGGGTACAGGTCGGAAATGGCTCATCATCGCCGTCGATGACCTAGCCACCGTCGAAACAACGCCGGAGATGCGCGTGCGAGAGAGAGAGAGAGATCACGAAGAGAGAAGAGAGAGAAAGAGAGCTCTGGTTCGTTGAGAAAGAGAAAGCTCTGGTTTGACCAGATCACAACTAGAACCTTAGCCTGGTTGTCCGACCAGATCGTGAAGAGAGAGAGAGAGGGGGAGGGAGAGAGAGAGAAAAAAATAGAGAGAGAGAGAGGGAGAGAGAAAAGGAGCTCAGTTCGTTGAGAGCTTTGGTTCTCTGACCAGACCGTGATGCTCCAGTTAGGGTTTCAGATCGTAATGGCAGTGGTGCCAAAGAAAGAGTTTCAGATCGTGAGAGAGAGAGAGAGAGAAGAGAGATCGAGAAAAGAGAGAGAAGAGATAGCGAAAGAGAACTCTGGTTTGCCTCCGCCAGAAATCACTTTCGCCTGAAATCTCTGCCGAAAATCGCCCCCCTCTCTCTCTCTCTCTCTCAAGTGAGCAATGAACAATGTTACGCGAAATGAGATTTATATAGTTAGGTTTTTGGTAATATTTGGCCATTGACGAGGGCATTTAAGTAATTTTAGCCCTCTTTACCAGCTGTCTGCTTAAGTCGATTTTTATAAGCACCCCTCAAGCTGCTTTGGAAAATAAGCTGAAAATGGCTTAAATTAAGCTATAATCTAATGAGTTAAGCTACACCAAACACAATATTTTAGCTTAAATTAAGCTAAAAGCTGAAATAAACAGCTTTTAAGTTGCACCAAACAGGCACATTAAGGGTCCATATTCTCTCTAGTCCTGTGGAGCACACTACATGTCCTATTT